ATATATATATACAGAAATGATCTAATGAGCACCGGTGCTCATCTTATCCTAAGCACCGATGAGTTGGCACATTAATTCATTGGTGGATAAAGATTTTGTGAGTTCCAATCCACCAATGAATTAATGTGCCAACTCATTGGTGCTTAGGATAAGATGAGCACCGGTGCTCATTAGATCATTTCTGATATATGAATCTTTGTTATTATGTAAAAGCCTAACTGGATATAGTAAGCCTCCATTAATTAATCCAACCCACCGAACAACTAAGTGTGAACATGTTTTTTTGGAATTTGGACATGGGTTTTTAAGTTTGTGTTGTTTTCTGTATTTTCTTGGATGTAGGTTTCTTGATTTGGTCTGAATTGTGATATGCTGTGATTATTTTTGGTATATAGTGGTTTTTTCCTCTAGTCAAGGAGGAATGTAACCGTTGGTGGTGGTGGTTGGGGTGGGTTGGGTGGATTTGGGGGAAATATAAGAAAATGTTCAATCGACCAAGCCATATTTCCGTACTAGCCTTTGACCACTAAAAAAAAGAAAACAGTTAAGACATATAAAAAGCTAGGTTAAATACTAAAACCCAAAGATACCCTTATCTTCTACAAACTGCTTGAGAGGAAGGAAAAGAAATTCAAATTACTCACATAGTCCACAGTCAGGATCCAATCGAAAAAGCATCTCACTATCAAACCCAACGTTGATCACCAAACACGGGCCATTATCTTCAACAATGTTTAATTTTTTTTTAATTATTATGAGATTGATTTTTTATTTATTGTGTTTTAAATTTTTATGTATAATGTTTATTTTTCATTATTTAGGTAAATTATTATGTGTAGTATATATATATTTGATGTTTTTGAAGCTTAGTCTCGTCAGAAATGGCGACTTTTTGCCATTTCCGATGAGAAACAGTCGGATTCACAGTCGGCCCACAAGGTGGATTGTGCCGATTGTAGTTGGCCCAAATGGTTGTTAGCAATCGGCGGTCGCGCCCAAAAGTTTTTTTTTATTTTCTTATCAATTTAAAATTATTTTCTTTTCATGATAAAATTTATTTTTTAATTTTAATTATATAATATTTATATTCTTTGTTATTCAATTTTTTTCAATTTTAATTA